GAAAGGAAACGGAAGGAAGGTAACGGTAACGGTAACGGTAACGGAACGGTAACGAACGGAAGTAAGGTAAGTAAGTAAGTAAGTAGTAGTAGTAGTAGTAGAGAGAGAGAGAGAGAGAGAGAGGAGAGAGAGAGTTCAACGACTCAATGGCTTGAACAGATCTGGAACTCTATATTGTCAACAAATATTTTTTTATTTGTTTACTTTCTCTTCTTCTTTTTATTCTTCCACTATAAACACGGGTGGGTCGACGAAATTTTCTTTTTATCACCCATAGCATTTCAAATTTTGGAATTTGAGTTTCAATCCTTTCATAAAAAGGAAAATGGTTTGATAGGGCTGCAGCCCTATCAAAATAAGTAAAACCTCACATCATAACCCATTGAAAATTGCAATTCAAGTATTGAAAAACCTTTAAATTGATCATCTCGGCTAGAACATTATGTTTGGAGAAAAAAAAAAAGATTTAAAATTCTAAAGATAATGTATATTGCAACAAATTATCTAGACTATCCATTTTACCTTAAAAATAAGTATTTGAAGATTTACAAGATTCGTATTATTTTTTAATTTCAAATTTTATTGTTGCTATTGAAAATTGATTTCAAAGCAATCATAGAGATTTCCGTAGCAGAAAGTACTTTCTAGGTAAAGATTTGAGGTGAGAATTTGTTTTGTTTTCATAGAGCCTAGGCCTTATAAAAACTTAAAAAAAGTGAATGGAAAAACGAGGGTGACTCCGTTTACGTGTCTAGTTTAATACAAATGGAAATATGAAAATCTGAAAAAATATAAAAATCTGAAATAAATTTCAATAAGTTTATATCAGTGAAATTACGTTCATGATCCTTCTAGAAGGTTATGGATAAGGTTTTTATGAGTCCTTGGTCTCACCTATTAAAATGAGTCCTCTCTCCAAAATTGATGTTTTAAAGATTGATTTTCGATCCAAAGTTTCAAAGATTGAAAGTCTAAACTATAATTATAATGAACCTGGAAAATTAACTAAATTAAAAAAATAAATAATAGATTTTTTTTTTTTATGTTATTTTAACACACTTGGTTGTGAATTTAGTTGGGCCACCATTTATTGACATCCATCAACAAGATGGATATTAAATGCGTAAGGATACGCTATTGTAGAAATGTATCCCCAGATGCATATTCTACTTTTCCATTCTAGTAAAAATATGCCACAACATTTATCCACAAGGCCATGACATTCAACTCTGGAAACAATTTTCGTGGGGCCACAGTTTTATAAAGCACCAATTTAAATTTCTCTGGAAAATGCAATTATGACATTTGAAAATTTGGAGACAGATCGTTTCGATCTCAATATTTGTGAATCTGAAGAAATAGATCTAAAGTATTAAAAATAATGTATCGTGTAACATATTCTTTTAGACTGTTCATTTCAAGTATTCACGTATCTGCAAAATATGCTTTATCTTTTATGTTTTAAATTGTGCAAGCCAAAAAAAATAAATAAAGGCAGTTATGCATGCCATTGCAATGCCTTTTGACATTTTAGAAAGGATGCAGTTTCTATAACGTTTATGTTTTAAATTGTGCGAGGGAAAAAAAAAAATGCAGTTATGTATGCCATTGCAATTGCTTTTGACATTTTAGGAAGGATGCAGTTTTTGTAAGGCCTAGGCTTTAAGAAAATAAAGTAAAGCCTCACCTTGAATCTTCATCAAAAAAGTACTTTGGGTTTTGGAATCTCCATGATCACTCTAAAATCATTTTTTGATATTGAATATAAAATTTGAAGTTAAAAAAAATACAAATCTTGCTGATCTATGAAGAGTTATTTTTAAGGTGAAACGGATGGTCAGGATAATGTGTTACAATATACCCTATTTTTAGAGCTTAAAATCTTAATTTTTTTACAACAACAATGGTTTAGGCCGAGATAATCGATTAAAAGTTTCCTGATACCAGAACAACAATTTTAATGAATTTGTGGTGAGGCTTTACTTATTTTGATGAGTTGCAGCCCTATCAAAACATTTTCTTTTTCGGAAAGGACTTTGGGGTGCAGCTTTACCAAATAAACTAAACCCGCAGCCCATAAAAAACAACACTTTTTTTTTTTTTATGCTTCATGCCAAAAAAAATAAACATTACAAAGAACTCAAATGGCATTTTGGAAATGTCAGTTTGCATGTCAAAAGTTCTAGGATGATGAAAATGACCGTCAAAAGCAATCCGGACCGTTAGTCCCACTTTTTGACTTCGAACGCCAAAGGGTGTGCACGCTATTATGTCTTTTAAGGAAGGGTATTTGATGAATAAGCATCCAAAGATCCTTTTTTTTGTCTTCTTCTAGGGGACACTATAAAAAAAAAAAAAAAAGAATTGAAAAAATATGGAGAAAGGTCACTGATGACGCCTTGCCTTGCCTTCTTTTTTTGATTATTAATCCCAAAAAAAAGTGGCAAAATGATGGGGCTTTTAGTTCCAAAAATGTTGTATTTGATTTTCAAGATTTACTTGGATTTAATATATTATATTTGAGAGCTGTTCAGAGAAGGTAAATTTTGAGTATGGAAATGTGCGTGTTTTTTCAATATTTTAGATTTTGAAGCACTCCATATGAGGCAAGCCCCAGCCTAGATTCTTTTTTTTAATGTCATACTCATAGCGAGCTGTCAAAATTTGTTGGGCAAGGAGCTCTCTCCCTCTCTCTCTCTCTCTCTATTTTCTACTTTATATGGATTTTCATCTCTCTCTCTCTACTTCCTATGGATTGTCATGTCTCTCTCTATAGTTTCTGTGGATTCTCATATGCTATATTATCCTCTCTCTCTCTCTCTCTCTATATATATATGCTATGAATGGTCACATGCTATATTATACTTCCCCTCTCTATCTCTCTCTTTTTCTTTTTTTTATATACTATACACCTCTCTCTTCCTGTACTCTCTCTACATTATCTCTCTCAATTTTCTCTTTCTCTCTCAATGGATGTATCGTCGTCATTTGCTCTCTCTTTTTATATATATATAGGGAACAAAATATGTCGGCCCACTAACTGATGGAATAGTATAAGCTTAATGATTGGTTTAGATTGAATATGAACCTATCTGATAGTCACAATTGTATTTCATAATTGAAGTTTGGAGTGTCCATTCTTCTCATAAGATGCACCTAACAACAATTATTCGTAAAAACTAAATTAATTAAAATACACATATGACTTCAGGGGTATTTTGGTCAAGATATTTATTATAAATTATTTTTATTAAGTTCATTCATTTTTCAGAAATTAGTATTCAAAATTTCAATGATTTGGATTCATAAAAGAAAATAAAAAAATAAAAAATAAAAAAATAAAAATAAAAATTCTAATACGAAATACAATCATGACCATTAGATTGGAGCAGATTTAATTTTAACTATTGAGCAGTAGCTGTCCGTCGACAAGCTGACTTGAGACTCTCCCTATATAAAAATAATATATACAAGCTAAGCTTCAAATTTTGCCCCCCTCATGAACTCATATTAACACAAGCCATAATTTCATCAAATTTCAAGTTTAGAGGAATCTTTTTATATGATTATTCACTACCAAACCCAAACTAATTCAAAATTCATTTATTTTTGTTTTCTTTTTAGCCTTTGCACCACATTCTATTTTTTCTCAGAGCCATTCCATAAATAGGCTTCCCTTAACTCATGCAAAACCGAATCAGTTGAGATTTCATTGTCGGCATCGTGTGCATAGGTCGCATGTACCCATTTCTGCAATTTGGACCGTGGCCGGTGATCCTCATTTAAACCAATAAAAATAATTAAATATTATTATCAAATAAATAAACTTTCAATGTGAAATATTAAATTTGATGAAAAGGTATTATAAAAGGCTTAAAATGCTTACTTCCAAGAAGAATAACTCCATGTGAGTGCCATCATAAAGGAGGTGCGAAAATACACACTGCCGTGCCAGCCGGAAAATAAATATTAAATAATTCCATTTATGTATAAGAGATATTGGTTTTGTTTATTATGGGGGAAAGACTCTTGGTCCTCAAGGAAACTCCAAAAATTCAAACTCCACTAAGGCATGAGGATGACCTTTGTGGTAAATTGTTAATCCCTATTGTTATGATGGAGAGAAGAACTTATGATTATTTTTTCACGGACTTTTCAAATGAACAATTTCAATGAAATCTTTGAAGTTTTTATTTTACTATGTTCAACTCTTATGTATTCTTTTATCCGTAGAGTGTGTTGAATGTATAGAAATGGTTGTAACACAGTTTTTCTTATTCATATTAATAACTACTAGTGTAATAGGTTCATAATGTCCACTGAAACGTCCATAGATTTTATCTACTTGATTATTATTATTGTTATTATTTTGAATGTTCATTTTTAGTAAATTACTTTGGGATATTTTGGGGATTAGAATGTTTTTTTAAATTTTTTTCATGGATAGACATGGGGCAGTTGATCCATCGAAATAATGGGATCCATGATACGAAACAAACTACTTAAGGGCTTATTTGGATCCTGGATTTTTCTTTCTATTTGGTTTTATAAAACCCATAGTTACTCCAAACACGTTTTGAGGTTAAGAACATAGTTATCAAGCTAGTTCGACTCGTCACTGCCTTGGCCTGCCTGATCCAAAATAAAAACTATGATTATTTGAATACCTATCAAAACTACTTTTGAGTAATTTTAACCGGACGGCGAGCTGGTGAGTGATTCGACAAGTTAAATAAGGCAAAGCAAATATTAAATAGATTTCATATTGTAA